CCCCCCCCCCCCGGCTCAGTTTAAAGTCTTCCGGACGAAGCTCGCTAGAGCATCTCCAAAGGACCTTTTCCCCATCCTCGTGAGGTGTAACCCGTTCCTTGCCAGAAGTCCATTGGCAAGAAAACGAGGGCCGTGGTCGAGGAACCCGAAGCGTTCCTTCTGGCACCACACCCTAAGCCAGTCGTTCCCCTTGGAGGCCCTCCTGTCCCTTCCTGGCCCAAATCCCCGGACAGGTAAGATTGACTAGAAGGCCACTTGGGCCTTCAGCTCCCTGAGTTTCTTCCCCAAGGCGTCAAAGTCCCTGGTGGTCCCAGCCATACCCTGCCTGGCCACATCGTTTGTGCCCACATGGATCACCAGGAGTGGCTGGTGACCCCCGGAGTGAACAGGACGCTCCACTCTGTCCTTCACATGCCGGATGCATGTGCCTGGCAGGCAGCAAGCCTCCCTTGTCTCCAGGTTGGGGCGGCACACCGCCGGCTCAGTGCCCCTCAGCAGGGAGTCCCCAACAACAATCACCTGCCGCCGTACCTTCCCGGTGCTGGTGAGCGGCCATGCCCTGGCCCTCGCCTCTCCTGCAGCGGCCCCCTTGCCACCTGACGTCCCAGGCTGGGGGTCCTGCTGGTCCCCCGAGGCCTCATCAGCCCCAGCCTCACCAAGTGGAGAGTACCTGTTTCCCAGCTCCAGATTGGTGCCAGGAGAAGGAGGCGGCCGTGCTGGCCTCCTCCTCCTGTGGATGACATACCTCCATGTCTCCACAGCTGCTTCTCCTGTGGCCTCTCCCCCAACCCTCTGTCCAGAGGGCGGCTGCTCCGGGGGGGCCTGGAGAGCTCTCTCGGCCCTCAGGCACCTCACCACCTCTTCTAGCAGGGTCACCTTTGGCACTTTACAAAGACTTCCTTCGGCACTTTACAGCCCTTTATGACTTCTCTTTCAGGCTGAGGGCAACTGTGGTTAACTGAAAACATGGTAACCAAACCAGTGGATACGGGGGTCCTTCTGTATTTTCGATATGCATAGTTTTATTGCTGTACACCTCCTGGATAAGTTTCATATGACTGACCATACTGAAATATTTTTAAATATAAACATATATGCATTCATACTTCTTACTGAAGTATTAAGATTATCTCTTTCATCTTCTACATTATTCACAATAACAATTTCAGAACTTCTACCTGTGCCCAGTGTAAGATATTTTTTACTGATGTGCAATCCAGTAAATGGGTTGCCATGACATCAAGGCGACTCTGAAGAAGAGAAAAATACAATTTTCAAGCAAAACAGGCTAAACAGTAAATTTATGTGATTAAATGTTTGATTTAAAAACTAAAGCATACATACCATATTTACATTGTTTTTGCTAATTCCACCAGCTGAGAAAATTAATTTGGCACAAACTTTGTTCCAGACGTTCTTGTTACACAACTTTGCAGTGAATGCTCTTGTAGCATTATTAGGCAGAACACAAAATTCTTTCTTACCAAGTACACTCTGGAGAATATAACATATATAATGTAACAGAATATAACATTTTCAGTGCACTTGAAATTACTCAAGCTTCCTTTCAAAATGCTAAGCTAAAATTTGGTTGCTGATAATTTAAATTTTATTAGGGATGTGGTGGCGCAGTGGTTTAAACTGCTGAGCTGCTGGGCTGGTTGATTGAAAGGTCAACAGTTCAAATCCGCACATGGGATGAACTCCCGTGCTTCGTTCCAGCTCCTGCCAACTTTGCAGTTCGAAAGCATACAAATGCAAGTAGATAAATAGGTACCACTTTGGTGGGAAGGTAACAGCACCCCAGTGTTTAGTCATGCTGGCCACATGACCACAGAAACTGTGGGCAAATGCCAGCTCCCTTGGCTGGGAAACAGAGATGAGCACTGTGCCCAAGAGTCAGACATGACTTTAATGTCATGGGGAAACCTTTCCCTTCAATTTAAATTTTACAGTACTGGGTACATTCAATATCTCTTCAAAACAGTGACCTTGGCAATAAACCCGGGAATGAAGCTGCCAACATATATATTAGCCAGTCCCTCTATCTGTATTTGGTAGAGAAAGAATCGCTGCTAGCAGAATACGCCTCCCACCACCCTTCCTGATGCATTTATGTCTGAAAGTCATTGAAATGCCTTTACCATTCATGGTTTTTGAATGGAGCCAAAGACCTATTTTGCCCCCCCCACACACACACACTCCAGAAGTGTGTCCAACTACAACTCCTTTATTTCTTCCACATACAAGAATTGTTCACATTCACCAGATGGGAAGAAATAAAATCCTGCCCTTCATGATAGGGTTTCAGTGAAGGCAAACACATCCTCTATTCCTGACACAGGGCAGATGGCTACACATAAAGGAATCCCCACACTCCCCGGGTGCTTTTGCAATGTGCAAGCTGGCCTCCCAGACAATGTGCTGCCTCTTACGGCATTGGACATTTGCTAAGAAGAATTCCCTTTCTCAGCTCTGAACTCAGACAATGCACCAGCCCTGGAGCTGGGAATTAGAGTCCTGATTGCTCTCCCCTGAACCTTGCAGCTGGTGTGCCAAGATCCCCTCTGGCTGCTCTCTGAAGTTGGGAAAGTGAACATTGGAGATGGTAGGGAGGGGAGAAGAATGGGCAACCATGACAGAAGGTATTCCAAAATTTATCCAACTTGCTTTCCTCTGAGGTGCCAGGACAGCCAAAAAGTGGCTGTCTAGCAAAAATGCAGAGCTGGAAGAGTCAGGAGGCAAGGATTACATCTACTGCTGCTCCCACTCTGCATGGATGTTCATGCGCGTTATCAGTAGAATGGGGTCCTCAACTGTTGTCCTGTTGCACATTAGGGAGCTCTAGGAGACCCTTCAGAGAATGGGTTTCCCTCCTTCATCTTGGAGTGTGTGTGTGTGAGGGGAGGGGGGCAAAGTAGGGCTTTGGCTCCATTCAAAAACCATGAATGAGAAAGGCATTCCAGTGACTTTCAGAAATAAATTCAGAAGAAAGCCAGTGTGGTGTAGTGGTTAGGAGCATGGGACTGGGACTCAGGCGATCTGGGTTCTAGTCCCCGCTTGGCCATGGAGCCAACTGGGTGACTTTGGGCCGGTCACAGACTCTCAGTCTCTCAGCCCAACCTACCCACACAGGGTTGTTGCTGTGGGGATAAGATGGAGGAGGAGAATGATGTAAGCTGCCTTGAGCCCTTTGTAGGAAAAAGGCAGGATATAAATTGGAAAATAAATGCATCAGGAAGGGTGGTGGGAGGTGTATTCTGCTAGCAGTGATTCTTTCTCTGCCAGCTACAGAGAGAGGGACTGGCTAATATATATGTAGGGAGAGAGGTCCGCCTGGCGCCATCATTATATGTTTTTCGGCGCCAGGTTAAGACCTTTTTATTTAATCAATATTTTAATATGTTTTAATATTGAATTTTACTGTTGTATTTTTATTCACTTGTAGCCAGAGTGGGTTGTCTATTTATGCTGTAAGCCATCCAGGGGGACTGCAGGTGGTGCAGTGGTTTAAACTGTGCTGCTGGGCTGGTTGATCGAAAGGTTGCCGGTTCAAATCTGCACAACGGGGTGAGTTCCCGTTGCTCTGTCCCGGCTCCTGCCAACCTTGCAGTTTGAAAGCATGCAAATGCAAGTAGATAAAAAGGTACCACTTTCGTGGGCAGGTAACAGCGTTCCGTGCACTTCGGTGTTTAGTCATGCCGGCCGCATGACCATGGAGACTGTCTGTGGACAAACGCTGGCTCCCTCGGCTAGGAAACGGAGATGAGCACTGCCCCCAAGAGTCAGACATGACTGGACTTAATGTCAAGGGGAAACCTTTACCTTTAAGCCGTCCAGAGACGTAAGTAATTGGACGGCATACAAATTTTATAAATAGATAATTAAATAAAATCTTCACTCCCCCTCCTTATTTTCTTATATGCAATGCAATGACACTACATGACTTTACTGCATCCTTTTCCAGCTCATTGTGAACTGACCTTAAAAATAATTCATGGAAATGTAAAACCACCTCTCTTCTTGTCTGTCAGCATCTCTGGCAACAGCAGGAAGTCCCAGTTCAAATCTCAGATTGGCCATAAATCCACTAGGGAGCTTATGCAAATTACCCTTTACTAACCCTCCCCCTCTGTGTGTGTGTGTCTGAGAGAGAGAGAGAGAGAGAGAGAGAGAGAGAGAGAGAGAAAGAGAGAGAGGTGGGGGGAATGCATAATATGGCCTACTTCCTGACATGAATTTATGAATAACCTTGGAAGTGCATGGAACAAATATGCCAAGAATTATTAATATACCAGAGAATAGAGGTTGCACACCACACAGTCTAAGAGCCATACTAAAATTTCCACCACACACACACAATGTATATGCCATAGTTTTCCTTCTTTTTCTTGTGTATTTTTGTTATTCTCTGTTCCTCTTTCAGACTGGGATCGTGGTACTCCTGGAGGGAGTGGTTAACCATTCCCCTCACCTGATATGAATCAGGGCCATGCATTTTCACAAGAGTAAGGAAAAGTTTCATACGCAGCTACACTATTTATAATTACCAGTTTTATTTCATGTCTGCACCTTGATTTGTGTTTTACTTCATACATTTACCTAAGACTTGGAACATAATCTAGTCCAATTTTGGTTTTGACTAAATCCCAAAGAAAGTGATGGAATGAGGACTCAATTAATTCATTTGCTTCAACTGTGGGTTATATTTGCCAGTTTGTGTTTAGTAACAGCTGCAGGCATGTTAACATTAAGAAGATAATGGATGAAAAAGCAGCCTGTACCTTTGCAAAAGCATCACTGAAAACAGCTAGTTTTGGATACAGAGATTTGGTATGTTTCAGCAAATGTATAGGACCAAATATAAAAAATACTTTGATTTTCTGAGCCAACTGGGGCATGGCTGAAAATGCAATGAAACCTGGAAGTAAAGAAAATAAATTACTTTAGCCTCAGAAATACAGTCAGCTCAAGGAACATATGAGTAAACACACATCCTCTATTGATGCCCTCAGGGTGGTTTGTAGGCACTTTCAACCTGATCCTCCTCCTCCAAGGCCTCTCCTGTTCCTCACAACCATTTTCATGGCTTTTCCTTTTCTCTCTTTTGATTAAAGAAAGTCTGGCATTATCTGTAATGAATAATCTAGTGGAATGAAATGGTCGCATAAATGCTCAATTTTACTAAACGGCTTGGGACCTGGTTATCTAAAGGAATGCTTGCACCCATATATGCCCTCCCGCCCCTTGAGGTCAGCAGCAGATGCCCTCCTCTGGGAGCCCTCTGTGAAGGATATTAGGAGGGTGAGCACCCAGAGGAGGGCTTTCTCTGCGGTGGTCCCCCATCTATGGAATGCGCTCCCCAGAGAGGTCCGCCTGGCGCCGTCGTTATTTGTTTTTCGGCGCCAGGCTAAGACCTTTTTATTTAAAACTTATTTTAACTGTTAATTATTTATTAACTAGGGTTTTTTTAAAGCTGAGAATGCACTGGCGGGTGTTATTTATTGTATTATTTATTGTATAATTTCAGTATTTATGTGTTGTGAGCCACCCTGAGGCTTTGTTGCGATGGGGCGGCATAGAAATGTTTTAAATAAATAAATACTACACCATCGTGCTACCTAGTGGCTGTGTCCTGGGATGCACAAAAGGAAAGAAAAGGAGATGAGGGGGAGAGAGAGAGGTGTACAGGAATCAGCCATAAACCTACAAAGAATGCAGAGGCCATAGGATTAAGAGCCTCATGTAGAAAAACTTCAAGTCATGCACTATATGTTATTTATACTCATTAAAAGGACAAAAAGATAGTTTTTGTTTGTATCACAAGTGTCCCCGTTCCTATACTCATGTCAATCATATCTGGAGCCCATTTGAGCACCAAATGACCCACCAGGGCTTCTCAAATATGCATACTAGGAGGATTCATCTGGTGGAGCCGTGGGCAACCCCTGAGCCACATGTGGCCTCCAGATGCCTCCTGCACGGCGTTCATGCCATCTTGCTGCAAACATGCGATTCCATACTGCTACTAAGTAGGGCAGATGCAGCAAGAAATTTAGTGTCATTCCTGATGCTGCCACTCCCAAGCCCAGCAGTCTTGCTCAACATTCTTGGAATAGGGCAGAGGGACTGATGGCAAAGCCTTTCCCTGCCCGGGTGTGTGTGTGTGGCTCTCTCTCTGAGGGCGAATGTGTCCCTGATCTAGCGTGTAGGATTTGCCAGTAGGATTTTTCTAGCATGGATAGCAAGGGAAGGGCCAAAGCCCCAGCACCTATGAAGCTGAACATATGGAAAGGGGCTGTAAATGCTGTAAGCAGCCAGCAAGACTAGACTGAAGAGCTTCTCAGGAATAGTATCCTGACTGTGGACTGATCTCTCCAGGGAGGCTCACCTGGTGTCAACGTATGCTGTAATTCCAAAACTAGGTAAATGTTTGGATTTGCTCACCCCCACCTGGCTTTTTGATCTGACCTGTTTTATCTCTACAAATTGCTGTTACACTGATCCTTTCAGATTATTTTCAAATTATTATTTTAATTCTTTGTAAAAGCAGTGTAAAAAAACAAGTCGAAATTATGCCAAGATCATCAGACCTTTGAGCCAGCATTGAAAGACAAGAAATTATGGTTTGAAATGCAAATTTAAAATATTATTCTACTCCACCCATAGCCTGATTATTCTTTTGCCCACATATGTGATGTCATTATGATAATTAAATTTGATCTTTCCCTCAATCTCTTCCTTTGGGGAGTTTCCTTTTGGTACCTTGATTATTAGCAAATGATTATAATGATGCTTAAATTGTTATGTTTGTACATGCTACATCCAAACTTTTAGTCTGCTGTTCTTATGCCTCCCCATTTTTACATGCCACTGTCATGGTGGCATGGTGGCTTTCATTTACATGGAGAATTCCTTATTGATTCCAGGAAATGGGAAACTCAGAAGATAAAAAAGGAGGACCAAGGGTCCATCAGGACCAGCATTCTGGTCACACAGTTGCCAACCAGCTGCCCACATGCAGCAAATGAGCACAAGTTTGCCAAGGGTACTTAGACATACTGGAGGTAACACATAGCCATGCAGACCGATGGCCATTGATAGCCTATGTTTGGTAGAATTGTCCATATCTCTAATTAAACGGCATGTGTGCTTGCATACAAACATTGGGGATTTCTGTGCATGAGCATGTGCAGAAAGAGAGAGAAAAACCACTATAACTGTATTGGATCTTCTAGATATGGCTATCTAGGACTGAGCTTAAGGATAGTGCTTTCAGTTATAATTTTAAATCCACATTGATTTTATTTCTGCCATCACTTGCAATCTGTCATGCAAAACAAAATATTTCTGTAACGGGGTTGGGGAGTAGCTCATTGTTAAAGCTTATGGCTTTTCAGTCACTAGCAGGACCGGGAAAGATCTGTCCCATCTGAAACCTGGGGGGTCGCTGCCAGATATTTTTGAGCAGGATGGGCAGAAGGCAGCTCTCTAGGAGGCCTAGTGGTCAGGAATGCTGGATATTATTACTGGGTATACACATCCCGTTTCAGCTTCAAGGTAATATCCATGATGCAGGCTCTGTTCTATCAAAATGTTCATGCATATCTTATTAGAAACATTCTCACATATACATATATACCCCTGTATGAAATGACTGCTTTGTATAGCATCCTGCAGGTTGCATTCCATCTTCAGTTTGTGCTTCTGCAGAAGAAGGTCATGCTGCTTGGACAACATACCTAATGTGGAGCCTTGCGAATAGCCAATGTAGTAAATTTGTTTCTGCATAGTTTTTGCTAGAACAAAATTTATAATAGCAGGCACGTCATTCATTCCCATTTCATGAAAACTGAAAAAAGGACAAATAGCTGGATTATGGATTTATAGTGCAACAGCAATCTGCAATAGGTTAGACAAGTATATCCTTTTCAGAGGAGGGTCCTGTTTAGATCATCTTAATTTTGTCATTGGAGTCCTACCAAGGAAGGATCTCAAACAGGCTATTGCTGGCTATAATGGTGAGGCTCGTAGCCTGCAGTGCACCAGCTTGGAGGACACTTAAGAACTAGGAAAAAGATTTATTTGGGTAGCGTTTGAATGTAAATTTATTCAAGTTCACCCATTTGAACTACTATACAAACATAAATTCTGATTTTTTTCCCAAAATGTGCATGTCTCTTAGTTTAGCGATGACGTTCAATCAAAAATTGCATGCAAAAATTCACATTAGAGAAAAATGCCACAAATCCATTTTATTCAGAAATTTGATGAGGATAAAATGTATACAAAATGCATGTGCCAGGAGAAATGTGCACAAAAATGCTTAAGATTTTCTACATACTTAAAGAATCTCAACTTTCAGGAAAATCTGAACTTATATTTGGTAAAAACAGAAATTCTATCCCTTGGAAAGCTGACCCAGCAATCGGAGGCAGCAACTCACTGGTATTCCTACCACAAACAAGCCCTAAGAATATTGGCGAAGGTCACCAGGTTCAGTCACTTGGGGACTGAGGTGAGCATTATGAAGGCAGACTGGAATGTGAGTAGGCTCTTGTTTACCAACCCACCCAATTCTCACTTCAAGACTTACCTGGTTAGGACAGCAGCAACAGAGGCATTCAAGCCATAGGAAGAAAGAAGGGGAAGATCAGATCTCTCCCTCCCGCATTGCAGTACCTTAAAATCAGAGCTGATTCATACATTTAGAGAATGCATCATTCAACATTCCTGAAAAATATACCTGAAAAATTGGAAACCTGATTGCTCCTTCCTGGCAAAAAGCCTTGCATGTGGAAAGCTTGCAGGGGTTGTTGTCATCACTGCCCCCCACTGCCTGCTTGGTCAGTCACTAAGCAATCTATGGCCACCGTGCACACCTGGTTCAAACTGGGCTATTTGTAAAGACTCTTCATGCTACTGTAGCAAGCCTTGTGTTTTTCCCTAGGCCTGCTGATACCACTCATTTGAGTATGGGTGGTACTATTTTAGCTACATAAACAGCACACCTCTGAACATAGGAAAGAGAGGAAATTAGAACATATATGACTTGTAACTATGCCAAGACTTGTACTAACACAGAAAGAATGCATGTTTTTCACATCTGTAACACAGAACCTTGACAGATAAAGCCGAACAAGGTACATGCTGCCAGAAACAATATTTTTACCATTCCACCAACCTGAAGTTCCAGAATTCCTCTTGATTGCGTGAAAAATTGTGGTGTCTTGTGCACCATCTGTTGCCCCTGTTGTTTGCCAGCCACACGTCAAAGCCAGCATCTGCCAGGATGAAGCCCAGGCTATTGTTGGGCAAATTAGTGACCCAGATTCCACCATTTGTAAGGATTCCAGGCATTACTAATGCAACAGGCTTTGCACCTGGGGCAAAGAAGAGGCATTAAACTTGTCTAAGTCAGGTCAGTGTTTGAACAGAACCTCTCTGCTGGTCTCACGTAAGTCAAGTCTCCAACAAGACACAAACAGAAAGTATTCAATATTACCTTAATAAATAAAAAGTGGTCCTAGCATCAGAACAAGCAGAATTAGCAGAGGGAACTCAGACACATATTCTTCCCTGTCAGTTAAGGTAATGGAAATGAATGTTCTTTAATATGTAGGCTAGGGGTGCTACCAAATTCCAGATTTGAGACCCAGATAAGGGACAGTTCTAGGACATTCCTATGATGTGGCACAGAGGAAAATGCCAGTAAGTTGCAATCCTGTGCAAGTTTAGCCAGAACAAAGGCCTACAATTCCCAGCAAGCTTTAGCCGGCACAGCTGGCATTTTTTGGCCTAAACTTTCATGGGATTCTGGCATGTTTCTTTGCTTTCAGGATTTGCTTTTGTAGCCTTTCTATTTCACCAGTTCATAAACAGAAGCACATTATTTGAAACTACTAAGGGAGCCATTCTGTGCATATTTAGAGAGGAAAAAAATCCTTAAAACTCCAGTTCTTCCCATCCCATACATTTTCTATAGGTAAGACACACAAAGAATAATGAGAAAGTGAGTTTGAAGCAATTTCCAGGAAGAAACACCTGTATTTTCTGATGTTTTTCTGCCATGAGGAATTCTATTGATGACAAGATAATAGCCATCATCTGTAAGAATTTCATATTCCTCATTAGGGTAGTCTTCATGCTCTATGACTTCACTCTATAAATACATGCCAAAAAGAAGAAAAGATCAGAATCAGAGTTAAGGACCCACTGTGCGTATGGGTATGTATATGGAGATGGAGAAGTGAACATTTTTCCCCTTCTTCACTGATGGTAAAAGACCTCTGTATTCATATAAAAGTATTGGTGGGCACAACTGAATCTCTCCAACCCAAGCATGCCACCTGGTATCACATCTAATGCATATGTACATGACGTAGAAGTATGTATGTGCTAAGGAGGGAATAGTTAGTGGGAGGAGGACAGCTAGGTTTGCTTCAGAAGGCCCAGCAGACAAGAACCTCCAAACAGCTCTGGAGCAGTGATGTTACTCAGGTTGGCAACAAATGAAAATGTGGGGCATTCATAAACTATGCCAGTAACCGGAACCAGGCCATCATCTATTCTGCCCATAATTCTTCTCAGACTGTAAGTGGGGCCCAGGGGTAAGGGAGAAAGGATCGACAGTATGGTGTAGCTGCTAGCTTCATCTCCGAAATAATATCTGCTTTGGGTTATAAACTATTTGCTCTCTTTCCCTGACAGCAGTGTTTTTTTGATGTCATTTTCTGGTTGTCCACCAAAATTTGCAGTGGAGTCAGCAGAGTTGCTGACAAATGCTGTCCATAAGGCTGGCTGGCTGGCTGGGTGAGCCTAAAGAAGCCTTCTCACTGTTTTCCCTTTATACGTACTTTCTTCTTACGGGAGACATACGTGAAGGCTGATGTTACTTCTGTGCAGTATTGGTCCAAGTGGTCCAATTCATTCTTGGGATGAAGTTCATTAAAAATCCAAACAATGCTATTTCCGTATGGTACTCAGGAAATCCTGAGACCAAATAAGCAACTGTAACACTTTTCGAACTCCTTCAAATTGCCATGTGAAGTTGGCAAAGAAATGCTGAAATAAGATGATAGACTTGTAGAACAGTAGAGTTGGAAGGGGCCAGAAGGTGATTGGATCCAACCCCCTGCTCAGCGCAGGACGCCAATTTAAACCATCCCTCTCAGACGGCTGCCCAGATGCATCTCGAATGCCTCTGGTGTGGGACTGCTCTAACAGTCAGGAAATTAAATCAGATGATTAAAGGGAGTGAAGGGATGTGCATACAAGCAAAAACTGAGCACAAGGAAGTCGTCCAAATTCTACCTCAAAGCGCGTTTTATCTTGCGTCCATCTCAGAGAGTGATTTTCTCACATTACAATTTGTATACATCTTTGTGCATATTCTTCCAAATGTACACATCAATTAAGCACAGCTTTGAATTCTCTGTGTTCATGCCCCACTGATTAATGTGTGTTTGTGCACATTATTTAAAAGCAGTTTTCAGTTTAGGATGTGCAAGCTAAATAAATCCAAAAAAATGAAATGAAACAAACTTGTCATGCATCCCTGCTCTAATACAAAGCATGTTCTTGTACAAAATGATCTACCATTCCCACATCACCATAGACAAGGGAATGGGTGTGCTTCATCCATTTGAATTCATCCGTGTAACTAGCAGCAGTAAATGGTACAGCTACCACTATCAAGAATAGCTGCAACATGGAAGACTTTTCTGGTAGCTTCCATTTAGGGTTCAAACATTCATTTAAAAAAGAAGCAAAATGGGCAGAAGGGCCTCATTATACAGGAACACACAACTTGTTGGGTAGCTGGCATACCAAGTTATGGGTTGACCCTAGTGCCAAGATAGAATCCACCAAGGACTTTGCCAGGTTTTCACCCCAAAAGCCCTTAATACAGAGATATATCCACCTTTTGCATGTTCTCAAAACTTCTTTAAGTGGATATACCTTGTGTACTCAGCAGCCAATGGAAGAAATGCAGGCAATTGCTGGGAATGGGGGAAGCACAAGAGATTCTTAAGGTTTTCTGGGCAACCCCCAGGCATGGAGCTCTTAAGGCTCTCATCTATGTGAAAATTTGAATTTGTTTTTTGCAAGCTGCAAAGTGATGGGGATCTGTGTAAGGATGGGAGATAAAGCCATTCAGTTCAAATTAGAACCTGAGTTATTTTTTAATATTCATACTTCTTTAAGATTTGCAATGAAAATTTCCAGCAAAAATAGTAAAGGAAATAACTTTTTCAAATGCATTATATAAATTTATATGCTAGGTAAACATGTGTAAAAGACAGATTATAAACAAAAGACATGGCCAGAAATGCTAACACCAAAAGAAAAAAAAGTTTGGGATAAACTTTAATTCTGCAATCAAATTTTAGATTGGAGAAATCCCCAACATTCAAGGCAAACCGAACTTAAATATGAACAATGACAAACTGAGAAAAGTGGAAATAGACACATCCTACATTGCCAGTTCTGTGCATTTGACATTCATGCTATGTGAAATAGTTTGTTGGCATCTTGCAAAGTGAGAGGAGGCATTCTTCACTCACTCCAAGTATGTAGGGGAAAGGAATACAGCATGCATATTTGTCTGTATGAATGCACCCAATGAAGACCAACCATAAGGAATGAGATCAGAAAGAATATTAAAAATCACTAAATGCACTGGTTGGATGCCAGCTTGATCAAACATGGAGCAGACCATTGAAATGGATGTCTGGATATGATTAAAGCAAAACTTTAGGGGGATTATTCTACATACAACCAAGACTGTATTAAAATTGCTGTGTGAAGATATCACTGTTATCATTGCAATGACTCACCTCAAGTCACTGCCTAAGACACCTTTCCCTAACCCAGGATCCTCTAACCCTAACCACAGTTCCTATCTTTCCAAGTAAGTAGGAGAATGTTGATTTAGGACAAATACAGGGCCTGTTTATCCAATTAGCATTTTTCCCAGAATGCATACTTTCAATCTCAAAAGGGATACCTGAATGCTTCTTTAAAAAGAAATGAGGATGGGAGGAAGGGGTAGATTTGGTTGGTTCAAAAGGAGAGTTCAGAGATCCCATACCAAAATATTTTTTCTCATCATTGAAAGATGTGTCAAACTCACAATGTTCATGAATGCTTCTGGATCTACCTCTCTCTTGTTTCTTGAGGATTGTTCTGAACCTGTCGGTCCCAGGACCAAAAGGGACATCATGATAAGCAGCAACATTTTGATTACCTGAAAAATAGCAGTGCAGTTAATAACTGTGCTGTAGTTTTGCAATTCTGCCCTGAAACAATTACAAGTGCAATCCTATGGCCTCCTGACATGGTTAGGGGAAGATCTAGGGCATAGGTCAGAGTCTCAGCTTTAACTGAGCACGATCACATGCACCCCCCCCCCCCAAAGTAATGAGTTCAATGGGTCTCTCTTCCAGGTAAGCATATATGGTGCGATTTCAGTGTTTGCACACTAAAATAATTGTCTGTCTCCCCACCTTTTGTTTCTCTGCTTTGCTACCAGCATGTATCATGTGTCACCACCAATCTTCGAAGAAGTATTGACTTTGGAACACTGCAAGGTCAGAGTGGTGACCTGAAGACTCTAGTTGTGATTGGCATGAACTTGTTTTAGGTAACAACGTTATCACAAAGTGAATTCTCATTCCATTTTCACAGAACAGGATAGTTGCATGAAAGCAGATATATATATATATGCCAAGTTATTGCATAATTTAATGTATATTATAACACACAGGAGTCCAGTAATTAATTATTAGGGAAAACATTGCAGCCAGTGTTGTGCATGCAAGGGCTTCATGATTCTTGCACTGACACATGTAGCCAATTAAATGGGATCCTCACAGGACTCCGTAGTGTCTTTTGTTCTTTTCCTAACCCCCCACTGACAACACATTTCTCCCACAAGGGTAAAATGAACACAGCTACCAAGATATTTCAAAGTTCCCAGGATAGAACTGCAAAACACTGAAGTAATTTTGTATATTAAGTTAATTAATACTTTTAATAGTAGCTTCTAATTAAAATGCAATGTCCAAAATAGTTCTGAAGTGGTTTTAAACACATTGTTTCATACCCCTATTGGATGAATCTTCTACACTGAGCAACTAAAGTTCCCAGAGAGAGAGAAAGGACACCTCAGAGAGAGGAACCATGGCAGAGAGGACCATAGGTCCAGTGCTGCAGGGGGAGAGAAGTTCTACTTCAGAGTCAAGAATGAATGACTGCTCAGTTTCAGAGAGCATCATCACCATAAAGGCAAATCAGATGGACTCCTGTAACATGAACCACCCTATTCCAAAGAAGGACTCCTCAAAAGGAGGGATTTCATCAGGAAAGTTCATCAGCAAATTATTTAATGTACTGCAGCTGAGCCTTGGTAGGGCTCAGCAAGCTCTGGCAACATAACCCTGTGCACTTTTTCTACCCATTGCTAGAAACAATACTGTTGTTGCATCTCCTACATCTTTGCCTCTTCTGTGTCACAGACATTTGGACTTCTGCCTGTTGCTGCTTTTGGAATTCTGACTCTGTTTGACTGATACCTTATGTGTTTGATCTTAACTATGCCTCTGATTGCTCTCTAAGAAAATCCACATTTGCCCAGGAAATTGTGCATTGACTACTGGCTTACTTTGCATTCTGTATTGAAAAGAGCTTGGTGTCTGTGTAACACAGAGCTGAACTTCATTGAGATAGAAGAATAGAAACAGTCTGACACAAGTAACAGCATGTTGATAGGGCTTTACTCCCTCATTTGAATTTGGTGAATTTGTGACTGTGATCTGCTGCACTATTTTGTTTTCAGTTTTTGCAAGTGAAGAAACCAAGAAGGGGAAAGAGGGGAATTCATTAAGGAAGTTGTGGTAAACAGCTGATATACTGGCCGGGTTCACAAGTCATAGCAAATAGCCCTGCACAGTTTCCATAGTGTACAGATTTCTTTCAAATTAAACCAGTGCTGTTTCCTTACTGGTCCAGATGATCCGAGAAGTCACAGTGAACATGGGAATCTTAGAACAGACCATTGATTCTCTCTGTGGCTTTAGAAAACTAAAGCTACAAAGCAGAAACACCACGAATGGACTGTGGATCCATGAGGAATCTGTTGGGGGTGGGAATCTATTTGATGCCCTTGCTTGTACTTCCCTGTACTCCAGCCTGCCCTCTTGTGGCCATGAGCCTGAAATGGCACCAAGCATTCATGTGGACACCTGCCAGGAAGCAAACCCATCTGATCTCTATTTGAAGATTTGCCAGTCTGTCAAGACCTGAGGCAGCTTCAGGGCCCCCTTTGCTGGTAGTTGCAGGTTTACTACCCCAGTCTACTGCAGCTGCCAGGGCTTTCATGAGCTCCTGTAGACCTGGGAGCCCTGGAGGGAACAGCTATGTAAGAACTGGCTCTTTCTCTCAGAAGCTGCCTCGGCAATGAAGGTCTTCCTGACTTGTTGAAGAGTGCCTGGTCCGTAGACTCCTGGACTTTGTTCTTGAGACCCTGACCCGGACCCGGACCTGTCTTGCCTGTGATTTTGCTCCTGCCTTGCTCCAGTCACTCCTGCCTTGCTCCAGTCCTCATGGTACCTGCTCTGTTTGGCTTGTCTTCCTGGTTTACTGACACCCACCTTGTCTGACCACACCTTCTTGAACAGATTTTGTCCAGTGTTGCAACCCCCAGCTCTGATCTTTGGACTGTGTGACTGTGCCCTTGGACTGCCCCACACCTTGGTTGTCTGGATCCTGGTGCTCCTGTCTGCAAGTCAGCCGCCCACGCCCTGGACACTAACACAGTCTCAACAGTCCCTCCCACTCCCTGTACCTCCATACTGTTCCTAGGGTCTCTGTCACTGTCTGCTTGTCTGCCCTTGAGCTCACCTCGGGTGTCCCTATTCCCTGCTGTATTCCATGGACTTGAGCAAAATTCTGCTCTTAAATGCCCTCTGAATATTTCTCTTCTGAATCAGAATCCAAATCAGCAAAATTGGCACAGCACACATCTGGTGGGAATGCTTGCCCAAGTCCACCATCCCACTTGCTCTCAACATCCTCTTGCATTCACATGACTTGCTTGAATCACTTGTTTCTGAGGCACATATTGTGGAAGAAGGTGGCTGGTTGTGCAACCAGAGTGCTACGATCATTTGCAGGCTTCCGTTCAGCTTGGCTTGCTTCTTGAGCCAGGGCCAAGCACAAGGAGAAGGCTTATAAACAGAAAAGGCCAAATTCCAGGGAAGATGATCACAATCCAGACAACCCAACCGGCTGACAAGAGTAAGAAATTACCATGGCTGCTCATGACATTTGAACTAAGCCACTAGGATCATTGTGGCTTGAGGTCCAAAACTGAAATGAAGACTGCTGTTTTCCAAGGAATTTCCTGAGGTGAAATGACTAATGGACACACTATGAAAGTCAGGTGAGGAGTTAAGATCTCAAAATATGCCAGAAACACTGGAGAGAGAGGAGAGTGCCTCACTGCAAATTTCTCAGAAGCAGGATATCTGTCAGACTGTTCTGTTATGATGCACACATTAATTTAGCTGATGTTGTCTTTCAGAGCAGCAAACTCTGGCAAAATGTTTTACATAAAGGCCCAATTTCAATAAATGCCATAAAGATACCACAATTTAAAACAATCCTTATTAAAGTTAATTCATTAATAGTGCAATCCTAGACATGTCTACTCAAGGGTAAATCCTCTTGATTTAAATGGGACTTTCGGGTAAGTTACATCCTAAGACTACAATTCTAAACAAAAGCCTGGGTGGTGTGCATCGGTTCATTTCATAATGCAATCCACAAAGTTCAAATTGCTCAAACATCCCTACTGTGAGCTAAGGGTTCTAAATCCATGATCTGGAAACATTATTTCAGGTGTGTTATGTTTTCTATCTTAAGATCTCTATGTGTCTCTCCACCCTGCACTGGGACTTGTAAGCTTCAAGCTTGGTGTCAATGACTCTGTACAAATATTAGCGGCATGTAAGGATGGGCAGGGCGATGTACTACAGCCTTGCTTCTACATATCTGACTGCATGTGCTTGAATCTGAGTCCTGGGAAGCCATATGAATTGTCCTGAGGACTAGAAATGTAGGATTTAAAAAAACACAGAAATAAAGAAAATGCAGATAGTTGTATCATCTATTCTTCTTGTGATTTTCCTTTCTTTCTAATGAGTGCCATCTCCACTATCACATGGATCGGGCTCCTCTACTACAACCATTCTGTGGCAAAAACAAAGCAAGTGGCAACAATGGAGACAGCCCTTTCTTTGGCACTTGATTTTGGGATGTTAACATCAAGGAGGCTTCCTTAGCACTTACATTCTTCCTCTGAGATATCATTCAAAATCCTGTTTTGACAGAAAAGTCCTACAGCATGGCTGGTTGGGGCATGTTGAGAGCGGTGGAATTTCTTTCTGTGGAAGCATGCATGGGATTGTGTCAATATAGGCTTTTGAATTTGCTGCTGTATTCCTCTGACAATATTTGTAATTCTGCGAGCTTTAAGTATTTTAGTTCAACATACTGTGCAAGAATCAACTGTTAAGAAGGATGGCATCAAAATATTGCAAAAAAGAGATAGGAAAACTCCAAAGAAATTACCAAAATTAAAGAAAAACAAGAAAGCCCTGGGGTACAAATACAGAGGCAAGATTCTGAAATTCAAAAGGTGATCAAAGAACTGAAATTCTGGAAGTTCCAAATAGACATAATAATTTGAGATTTAGGAGACAATTAGAAGATTATCTACACATTCAAGGAAATTTTCAGGGAATTGAACAGATATTTACAATAAATTCAGCCTATGCATTGAAGAATAAATTGCCTCATTATATATTGATTAAATTTGCAAATAAGAAAAGACACTATATTGAACAGATAAATAGAATCTCCATTGAAAATAGACAGGAAAGAGTTTTGCAGACTCACCACAAAATCTCCTGAAGAAAAAGAAAGACCAATTTTCTACGACAAATTTTACAAAGAAAATGATAAGATGATGCTGGAAAATTCCCTTTGCTCTAGAAGTGATACTGATAACAGGAAGAAGAGTTATGACAACAATAGAACAGATAGCAGAAGAATTAACAACCAGACAGACCTGAAAGATCTGAAAATTCAATAGAAATGAGTAGAGACAAAGAAGAAACAGAATTAGATCAGGACAAAATAAAAATTCTGTCTGTAAACTTTAATGGGAGGAGCTCT